GATTACCCGATCAGGATCTTTAACAAGTATATCTAGCAACTCAACAAAATTGAAAACTACGGAATTATTCAATTTTTTCAGTTCTAAGGCTTTGTCTAAAATAAATTAATCATAATATTAATAATTAGATTAAATTTTTTATGAAATATCGATGAAAATGATGCAAACCAATTTCTCCCTTCGGATACAATTGCTCCAATTCGGTTTCTTCCAAAGTACGCATTCGATCAACAACCTATAATTTAAAATTATGTTATTTAAAAGTAATATTTTATTGCAATTTATTATACTAATAGCGAATACAACGAATAAATAACATACGGGCCAAGGATCATTAAACATTGTGTAAGAGCCTTTGGTTATCGGTTTAGGAGGCTCTAGCTCAAATATGTCAAAATCCTGAGGTAAAGTATCACCTGCATTTGTAAAAGCTTCAATGCCATGTTCCTTGATCCGCTTTAATTTGTCAAGGTTCTCATCGGTATATCGTTTGTAAAATTCGGGAGGTAAGGGAAAGGAAGAAGCAACGTTTTGAGAAGACATCGATTTGTGTAGATTTCAGTACATCTATCGTAAATCGCATCGATATAAACCACCCCCAAGAATAGGCCCCCGTTTTAAACTGTACCCTAACTACGGATACAAAAGGTATCACAAAAATGATTCTACGTACTAACATTGATTTGACGAAATAACCTAAATGTAATTTTTTTCAAACTTTGAGCAAGGCAAAAATACCGTTCCTGATGGATCGTCGGTATGTTCCTGATAGGGTTCTAAAAAAGGCCTCCAGAATACCATTACTGAAAAAAGTTAGGATTAGGGTTCGTTTTCGGAACCCTATCTCGAATAAATTTTTATTATTTTTTTTTTTAACTCCGTCAAGATCGCCATCAGGAATAGTATTTTTGCTTGAGCAAGAATATATCTAAAATCGATATATTTTATTCTACGTATAAAACTGTATATATAATCAAAATAAAAAAAAATTGTAGTAATTATTGATCGTTCAAAGTTTAGAAAAAAACTTGCCGCAACTTATTTTTGGTAACGTTTTTTTCTAAACTTTGTGCTAAGATGTCTTGACGACCATCTATCTAAAATTGATGAAATTTTTTAATTTTAATTCTATAGTTAATATAGAATCTAATGAAGAAAATTCTATTGGTTTTAGATAGATGGTTGTTAAGATATCTTCGCTTAAAGTTTGTAAAAAGCTTTACTGCGACTTCTGATAATTATCAAAACTTTGAGCGAAGATATCTCGATAACCACCTATCTACAATTAATAAAAATTTCTTCTATGAAACTGTATAATTAAAACTATAATTAAAATAAATTTTTTCGGCGATTTAAATAGATGGTTATCTACAGCGGCTTATTCTGTTTTGGTACATAGTTGTTTCAAAACTTTGAGTAAAGATATCTCGACGACTACCTATTTAAAATTAATGAAAGTTTTTTTTTATTTTTAAATAATTATATAGAATCAAAATAAAATTTTCATCGATTTTAGATAGGCGGTTATCGAGATATCTCCGCTAAAAAAGTCTTGGAAAACTTCGCAGCTTCTGATGGATAACTAAGTTTTTTCCAAACTTTGGGCAAATTCAAAATTAATGATTTTTTTTTTTTTTTACTGTATATAGAATCGAAATAAACGAAATTTTTATCGATTTTAAATAGCTAGTTGTCAAGAAATCTTCGGAAAAAATACATTTTTGGATTATTGATTTTGTCCAATCAGAATGTGATTGTTCAAGTAGAATCTTACAGTATTTTAGCGATACTTTTTGTCGTCGCGACTTGGGCACCATTGTATACTAGGTTTCAAGACTAAGCTTCAAGACTAGATCTTAGAACCCCGGACCTAAGGTCTTTACTAAATGACCCTTTGGGACTGATTCACGTAGTTCCGAAGGTCATTTTGCTAGATGCTGCGGCACCCGAAATTTCGGGGCCGCCTTGGGTTGTACGGTTCTTTTAATCACGTGTTATCATCAATTAAAGCCCTCATTTCATTGTGTAAAGAATTTTTATCTTTAGCGTTAGACTTCCCGATTTCACTTTGCGGCATTCTCATCTGATAGTAGGATGTCTGCCGATGTAGATGATGTTTTCGATTTTGTTAAATATATAAGAGGTGAAAGCGAAGCAAAGCAACGTTCAAAGTACTCACACAAACCGGGAAACCACGGTAAAACAGGCGTCAATAATGATCGTGTAAATAACATACAAGGTGTTGATATAAATCGGCCTCGGACTCTTATTAAAAAAAGTTCTCAAGGCTATTTAAGAGCTTGTTCGCCAATACAGGATTGTCTGGACCCAGTGAGATCTCCACCAAAAAAAGTACGACCAATTAATAAAGTTCCTGATGTAGCTAAAGCTCAAAATCGATATACTAGGTCGATATCAGAAGTTGCTACGCCGATGTCCTTTTTACCATTCCATCGAAGAAAACCAAGTGATTCTATATGGAATGTTGTTGATGCTGTAACTTCACCAATAGATATTTCAACCAGTCCACGAAAACAAAATTTAGTTGCAAAAATGACTAAACCTTCCAATTCCAAACCTGACAAAAATAATACATTATCTCACCTTATGACATATAGAGATCCTATTTCAAAGTCAATAATGGATACTAGTCCTTCAACTAGTTATAATACGAAAGATGATATCATGATTGAAGATATTATTGCAACAACTTCAAATACTCTCGATTTTTCAAGTTCACCGCCTG